GTGTGAGACAGCATTTATCGCGATGCCTGGAGGAATCAAGGCGAGAAACAGCAGCAGAGGGGCTGCGTTCTCCCTGCCTGTCAGGGCTTCTGCATCTTACCCCCAGCCACGTGCGAGATATGCCAGCTCCCCATATCCCGCCACCGGCAATTAAAAGAAAAGTAACATGATGGTTTCTAAATTGGTAAAAGATTAAGGGAAAATTTCTTTTCTTACAAACTAGGGAGAGAAAAAGGAAAACAGATTACTAAGCAAACTAATGTAATCACAGAAAGAGGATGCGACTGCGAGGACGGCGCGGCCGCGGGAGGAGAACCTGTGGGGCTCGAACCCCAGCTCCGAAGCTTCCGGTCACGAGATTCTGGATAAGTTCACGGATTTGGTGGATGCACTGCTATGCTGCAGTGAGATCTCCAGGTAAATTACATTAGAAAAAAGATCATTCTATATCAAAAGGTAAATATTGTACAAGGGGTGTGTGTGTGTGTATATATATATATATATTTGACAGAACCATATAAATCAGGCTTTTTTTTTTTCACATAAATCAGTTTTGAAGGCAATATTTCTTTAAATAAAGCAAATACCAGTTTTAGGTCAATTAATCTTTACAAGTCTGAACAAGAAAGACGGGGAAAGCAAGATCCACCCAGGACAGAACGGTTCCTCGTCCGGTTCCTGCAGCTGAGATGCAGGTGGATGGGCCAACATGGAAAGGGGGCCAGCGGTGGTGGAAGGTGGATCATCTGTGTTCCCGGGGATGCCACTGCGCATCTCCCCCTAACTCTCTGCCACTCCTCAGTCTCCTGGGCTGGGGTCTCCTCTTCCCACCCCACTCTTAACAATGACGCTCTGAGGACTCAGTCCCGGACCTCCTCTCTCTCCTACCTGCACTCAGGCCCTCAGGGAAGCTCTGTGAGTTCTGTGCCTTTAACTACCACGGAGACGCTGAAGCCTCCCAAACCCACGTGCTGAGCCCACCCCTCCTGAAGACGCCAGGACACAGCGGCTTACTGCACATTTTTGGCCGCGGGGGACACACCTTCACCCCGGCATCCCCGGTCCTGTCCTCGGCCGCGGGACACACCTTCACCCAGCGTCCCCAGTCCTGTCCTCGGCTGCGGGACACGCACCTTCACCGTGGCCTCATGAGTCTCCACTCCTCCTCCTTCCTGAAAGCAGTGTCTCTCAGGGCTTCCTGTCCTCTTAAGTTGCAACTCTACCCCTTCCATGTGCTCAGGCCAGGAATGGAGTGATTCTTGCCTCCTCTGTTTATGCCTGCGTGTACTTAGCAAGCAAATCCCATGTGCCCTCCGTGCCCTCAATATCTCCAGACCCTTGGAGGTTTCTTGCCATCTGCACAGTAGCCCGTCTGGACCCACTGTCTCTTGCTAGGTGACTGCAAAGCCCCAGCTGGAAGCCCTACCTCCTGCCTCTGCCTCGATGAACACCAGAGAGTCCCTTTAGAAAGCTCTCGGTGTGGGCCAGTCCCCGTTCAGGACCCCAAATCTCACATAACATAAAAGTCAACCTCCTCAGGCTGCCCACAAACAAGCCGGCCCCGCCCCTGCAGTTCCCATCCCCACTGCCCTGCGCGGGCTCGGAGCCCCTGCCCCTGTGAGCATCAGCTCCAGAGCATCCTTTCCCTCCGCCTGGGAGGAGTGTCCCTCGAGGGTCCCAAGAGCCACCTGCTCATCCTCTGACCTGCAGCCTGGGAGCGCCTTCCCCAGCGTGGCTGTCTGGGGGAACTCCAGCAGGCCCTCCTCGGCGTGCCTCTGAGCACTGCTCACTGTCCAGAGAGCAGGGGGTCCTCAGTCACTGTTCTCTGTCCCCGTCTAAAATGCAGTCTCCACGGAACCAGAGAGTTGTGCCTGCTGTGCTCACTCATTTAATTCCTCAGCATAAGAACTCCACAAAGTCGGAGGCCGGGCACGGTGGCTCATGCCTGTAATCCCAGCACTTTGGGAGGCCGAGGTGGGTGGGTCACCCGAGGTCAGGAGGTCGAGACCAGCCTGGCCAACATGACGAAACCCCATTTCTACTAAAAATACAAAAATGAGCTGGGCGTGGTGGCGCGTGTCTGTAATTTTGGCTACTCAGGAGGCTGAGGCAGGAGAATCGCTCGAACCCGGGAGGCGGAGGTTGCAGTGAGCCGAGATCACGCCATTGCACTCCAGCTTGGGCAACAGAGCGAGACCTCATCTCAAAAAAAAAAAAAAAAATTTCACAAAGCAGGTATTTGTTGGCTAATCAGATAAACAAAGAGCCACCAGTTCAGCCCCCCGTCAGGAGCTCAGAATCCTGTTTCCAGTCCTCCCTCGTGCATCCAGCCCGGTTGGCATCCCTGTGCCTCAGTTTTCTTGTAAGGAAAATGGGGATAACATCTTAGATTCAGTGTGAGGCTTAAATGGGTGAACACACGTAAATCCCGCAGAACAACTGGGTACAGCACACGTCAAGAGGTGTTACCGGTGTTCACTAAGGTTTGTATTTCAGTGGGTGCTTGTGCACACCGGACACCGCCTACTTTCCCTCCAGTGCCCGGTTTAAACCAACCGCGGCCTCCGAGACGACACCACCTTCCTTCTCACCTAATGTCAGGGTCATCAGACCCCAGAGGCACTGCCATCCCCCAGCACCTTTTCAGAAAATTCAAAAGCACATCACACCCTGGGCTCCATTTGAGGGCCCGAAACCTACCTTAGGGTGAGATTTCACTCCAGAAGCAATGCCTTAATAAGTAGTCATTCAGTCACAATGTCACAGGATCCTGGACTGAGACAGGATCCTGGACTGAGGCGTGAAAAGGTGTGAGGGCCGTGGAGGGGGCCCCCCTATTCCACTGTGCTCGGAGCCAGGGGGTCTGCCCGCCTATGGCGTCCTGGGTGACTCACCTGGCCCTTGGCGAAGCCATCAAAGCCATCGTAGATGGCGAGCATCCTGTGGCCGTCGG